TAAAAGTTTACTTGCCCTGTTTTTTTGTTTTTTTTTAACTTTCAAGAAAATCTTTTTTTTGAAAAGCAAATTCCCATTCTGAGAATAAGCCATTATTGCCTTGGCTATGGGTTTTAAAAAGTATAATTTTCAACTCTTCTTTGGGTGTTTCATCTACATGTTTTTGCTTCCCCAATTTTTGTGGCCCTTTGAAATAGAGGAAGTGGTTGCCAAAGCGGTAAGGCTTTTCAATCTGGAGGTTAGTGATTTAATATATTAATGAGGTTTGTTTTAAATGCATGAACTTGCAGGTTTATTTTGCATCTTTGAGGGGTGGCTGGAAAGAGAAAGCTAGCTTTGGAACCTGAGATTTCTTTTTAAAATGTATTGCATACCTTTTACAGTTAACGTGCATTTATTTTTAAGGGTAAGTTGGATTCCCTTTAAAATATATTCTTCCCAAGTAGCAGTAGATCAGGGGTGTCAAACTCAAGGCCTGTGGGTCAGATCTGGCCGGCCTTTGAAACAGTGATGGACCAGCCTGTGAAAACGGAGCTCAGGAGGGCAATGTGCGGTCCTTACGGGCTCCATTTTCAGCCACGACAGCCTCCTGCAACCCTCTGTCAGGGAAAACGGCGCTTGGGTCGGCTGTGTGCGGCCCATTCGAGCTCCGTTTTCACTGGCAGAGGGCTGCAGGAGGCTGTCACGGCAAAAATGAATCCCAATCGATGAATGGGATTGAGCTGGCCAGGCCCCCCGAGGTGAAACACAACCCTGATGTGGCCCTCAATGAAATCAATATGGAATAGACATATTCTCCCTTGGGCTCTTCCATCCTCCTTGTTTTGGGATAGCCATTTCATGAATTGATTAGATTCCCTTTAGTTGATAGTCGTAGCCCCCAGAAGTTATGCTCCCACTGACCCACAAAACTCTGGACCTTTGGAATGCCAAACCCTGATCTGTGCAGGTCACAGAGGAAGGCGATGTGGGTTGCCTGGTTCTGATTCTGCCACTGGCCTCATTTCCCTTCCTGTTGTTTCTGCCTAAATTCATTTGATGGACTGTCCTCCTTTGGGATCGGTGTACATTCTTCCCAGGTTGCTTACTCAGCTTTCTGATAGTGGACAGGATGTGCTGGGGAAGGGCCATACTTGTCTGCTGAGATAACGGGCATTTCATTATGAAAAGGAAGTATTGCACACAGCTCTGCAGCCAGCTCTTTTAGAAGTAAAGGTGAGGAAAGTGGAAACAGACACTGGGCTCATTTCCTAGGATTTAGAACTGGGTTTCCTTTTGATCAGGCCTTCCCAGTTGGAGAATCACCTTCACAGTGAACTCAAGTTCCTTTTCAGTCCCAGGTCAGGTGTAGAACATCTGCCCGATGATGCCGATTATAGTTAACATCTTCCAAGACCAAGGAAGAACAATTAGCCTTGTCACATTATTCTCATACTGACTCACATATTGGAAATGCCTCTAAGTGCTTTCCTATATTATTTTTCAGATCATTTTGGCCTGCATGACATGAATATCATTTGAATTTCAAACAACCCCCTGGTAATACTGGTATTCGTTCGTTCACTCCATTTATATCCATGACATCTTGAGTGTTATTAATTTACACCCCGCCTTTATTTATTTATTACAAATCAGGCAGCAAACACGCACCATATACTTTCCTCCATATACTTTCTACGTAGCAATAATCACCATATGGATTGGGCTGAAAAAGAGGGACTGGCCCAAAGTTTCCCAGCTGGCTTTCATGCTAAGGCAAGTCTTGAACTCATGTCTCTTCCTTCGTAGCTTGGTGCCTCGTGATACTTTACCAATATCATAAATTTTAAAAATCATCAATCAGCATTTAAAACATCCACACTTACAATAACCTAACAGTCTTAACTAATGTAAGGACTACAAACATAAAATAGAATTGAAACAGTATGACTTTAATCAAATACAGGTAATCCTTGACTTGCAGCCATTCGTTTAGTGACTGTTTAAAGTTACAATGGCACTGAAAAAAATGTCTGTGTTTCACACTTATGACCTTGGGAGCAGCATGCCCATGGTCATGTG